AACAAACAAGTATATTTTGACCAATTATTCAAAACATAACAGTAATATAATTGCTTACCGAGCACTCACGTTTACTGCGAAGCTGTTATTCCTGGCACTGCAGCAGGTAATATGCTTGTCAATAGATGCCTGAACACTTGATGAGGTGTTTTGTTGAACTAAATTACTCTCCCCCCCTTCCCGTCCTCTGCAGATGCACTTCATGTAGGGATGATGTGGTAACCATGGCAGCAAAGCAGAGAGAGGGAAGGCGAGAGGAAAGAGATGGAGAGAAAGAAGTCGAAGAAAACAAATCCAGAACCAAATCCAGTGCCGAAGGAAGAAAGAAGAGGACAGAGAGGACGAGGGAGGGGAGAGGAAGACGGAGCGAGGACCAGAGGACGGATAAAAGAAGAAATGCTGATGTCTGTTTTCATGTCGCCTGACCCTCTAATCTCCTCTCCTCTCTCCATGTGGCTACTGATCTCTCTGTCTTTGAATCTATTTTGCCGGGGCACCACAGGCTCCACATCATCCCACTCATCCTCTGTTTGATTTGCCAATTCAAGCTGCGATTACGACCTGTGATGACTGACAGCTCTATGGAAGTGCAGAAGCTCGGTTGCCACTTCCAGACCTCCTCGCCCCCAATAATTTTGTGTATAAAAACATACCCACTTCCCTCTCCATCCCACAACTGAATCAAACTCGGAGGACACACACACGTCTCTTTCAACGATTGGATTGTTTGCTGGCACTTTACTCAGTGTGAACTTTGCCAAGGCTTTATGTTTGTGAGATTTTAGCATCTTGTTCGGAGTGGTTCCCGGTCTGCGTGTCCTCCATCACCTGATGTCAGATATAATTGGTTTGAATGCGTGTATGTCCCTTTTTCTACATTTCAATGTGCTGCATTAACATTAACGTTTGAGTCTTTTTATGAGCTCTATTTGTTCTTAATTGCCAACTTCACATTAAGAATCCGGCGTGGAACGATAACTTTTGCGGGCGCGCTTGTGTGTGAGTGGATGGACATGGCTGTGTAGGGCATGTAATGTATGCGTTTCTCTCTTGGTACCTGATGTACTTGCTGTGTTGCCAGGTACCAATGTGTTACTGCACTGGAACTAACTGACGAAAGCACTGAGCCAGACCCAGGCATCGCATTTGGATGTAAACAAACCTCTTACACTAACTTTGCTACTTGGGGACGTGCTGTACACACTGTGTATTTTGTTCTTTTTTTGGCTCCTCTACAGCTGTGCAATATCATGCAATCCCGTTATTTTTTTTACCCCCTCCCATCTGTAAACTGTTTAGAAGCTGTTTCCTGCTGTAGTGTTGTACTTCTTGTGTCTACATCAGGTTTCTGTACAGAATGCAGTTACATTTTTTTCCATTTTATAACCTTTCCTCTCCTAACTCCTGTTCTGTTATACCCGTACTGCTCTAAAAGTAGTGAAAAATGCACTGACAGCCAGATAGAAAAGTGACTGCATATTAGTAAGGAGGTGATTCACAGTCTTGCCAATCAGAAATGGTCTAACTCCCTGTATGATGTCGTGAGCATCCGTCCTGTCCAAAATGAGTCCTTTACACTCCTTAAAAAACTACTGGATAAGCGTAATTACTGCAGAATATGTCTCACCTTTCCTTGGAGGAATTAAAGACATGTGTAACACACAGAGGGATTTGTTAATGTAGTGACAGGACGGCTAAAGGTCAGTCACAGGAGTCAAATGAGGACCAGACTAATGTCTGTTGATCACGACCCTAGTAATGCCTGCAGGGACGACATACAGATTAATTCGGACAGCCAGAGATGGGATGCTTTAATGAGACGTTAAATGTTAATATGGCTTTTCTGACAGATCCAAGTTCAAGTTAGACCCACAGACAGACATATATAGCACAAACCTTTGAAGAGGGGACAACGCTCTGCTGCACAAAAACCTAAAATCATTGCTGGGATGTACAGTTGAAAGGGGCAATAATCAATTGGGGATGAAGTTGTTTTCTATTGATTGTCTGTTCTATGTACATGTACTGTATGTTTGTTTGTGTGCACATGCCTTCCCATAGAGATAAACAGGGTCATGTTCCTCGGTTAGAGATGAAAGGTCTCTAGTGAGCTGGTAGCCTATACTAACGTAGCAGTGAGTGTTATTGTGAATGTGTCTCAGTCTCCATCTGTACAACCCGACATCAAATTAAGGTGGCTCTAGGATCGCTCATCCGCTGAAAAACGCAAAAAAGATCAAACCGAAAGCCCCAAGTCATCAGAGCTGGAGTCTCAAAGCGAACCTTTCCAGCCAACTGGAGCTGCACATCCTGCTGGCGGTTCCTAAAACAAATCGCCAGAGCATCACGACTGTGCGGTGGCGTATCGTATCGTCTCCCTTGAACTGTAACCGCTGGCTACGCAAAAAGCAACCTCCCTGCAGCTACAACTGTACTACCAGCAGAGCGAGAACTCAGTGTTAGAAATCGTCACCAAGCAGGCAGATATTCTCTGAGGTTTCTAAATAAGAGGCCAGCTGACATTTGGATATCTCCTTTGGAAAGTTCTTGTTTCACTTGCCACCATCACTCGTCGTTCCAGTGGTTTGTCTTTCTCCGTCAGCTGAATGCTCTTTTCATTGTGCACTTCACTCCCACGACGCAGCTCGATCCATCCTGGGCCAACCTCTGACTGTTACTGTGTCCTCTGTATATAGGTAATGCCGTTCATGTGTTTTTAGACGTGCTCTCTCTGTAAAGTGATCGAAGCCCCATTGGATGACGTACTGTATGTGGGACAATTTATTGCTGTATCTGTGTTTGAATGGTTGTATTTTGACGGTGTCATCATCCAGGGATGGGTGGGTGGGTTTGATGTTTGTGATGTTTGTGTCCATCTTGAGGAGGAAAGGGGTGGGGTTCTTTTTTTTGGGGGGGGGGATTTCATGGGTAAACTATCACAACTGGTCTATACCAAGAGTGTCTTCATCGAGGAAGTGGACAGGACAGGGTCTGTCCTCTTCGAAACAGGAACATTTTTTTGCACCAAAGTCATCATCAAAGCGCAGCTTCTTCTTATTCAAGGTCACTACGGATGGATGATATCAGAACTCAAAAGGATTTTTTTGTTCTTTTATTTTTAGAGACAAAGAAACTGTCATTTCTGTGCATGATTAAGTGTCGTCTTTTTATTGGCTTGTGTGCCCGGTAAAAGCATGACCATTGTGTGAACTCTCACTTACCGGTGTGTTTGGAAATGTTAAGGAAATTTCTCCATGAGATTTTTTACTTACCTCTTGACATGAACGTTCATTGACATTCATAATCAAATGTTTTACAATGTAGGGTCTGTAACTGTTTGAAGGCTGCCTCGCATGCAGAAATGCAACTTGCAAGTAAACCCATCGAACTTCAAACCCAGTTACCATAACTGCATCTTTGTAAAACACCATGGATGTCAATGCCAGTTATCACCTAGCTAGCTAGACATTGCAGTCTTGTAAAATCGCTCTTTATTAAAGCGTTGCTATTTTCAATACGTGTGTTTGAATGCTCGCTCCTTTTTCATACTATGCCAGCAGCATCATGGGAGGTTGGGATTGAAAGTCAAAGTACTGTAATATGTGTTTGGTCTGGTCCATATTGTGTGGTGTTTTTAACGTGTTTGCCCAGTCTCGTCCTGTATGTTGCCATCAACTGGACTTTTTCTTTCCCAGTCATCCTCTAAAGCACGCACTGGTTTCCTGAAACCAGGCTTAGATTCACCAGAAGCTTCGACTTTACTTTTGGACAATTTTGGCAACCCAGACCACAAAGTGTACAGACCTGGACATCAATGACATTGTTTTTAACCACATTGTTTAGGTGCAGATGGGTCAAATTTGGAACATAATTTAGTATTCCCATGTCTCCCCGTCATATCCCTGTACAATTTATTTTTTGTGGTTTAGTTTAATTATCAAGAATTCACACTCCACCCATTCTTCAGATCCCCTGCTAAATCAATGTAAAGGGGCACAGCATAATATAAGGCAAATTAGAAGTATTCAACCTTCCTAAAAGGCATCCTTGAACTTAGTAGTTTATAAAAAAATTAAAAAGAACCATGCTTCAACAGGTGAGTTGATTAGAGAAAGTAATTTTTTTCTCTCTTAAATCAACTTCATCTTGCCTTTCCATAGCAAGTCCAAAATAAACGACTAAAAAAGTGTCTACAAACGGAAATTGTCATTGGACACAATACTTCTACCTGCACTTAACTTTACAAAAAAGGGTACAAAGGAGGTGAACTTATGTCAAGTAGACCTTCACAACAATGGGTTGGTTGTAGTCTTGTTTTTTCCATAATGGAAGGCTTCCAAGACCAGTATCTGCTGACTCAAGTGTCTGCAGATACTCAACAGGGATCCCTACGAAACAGACCTTTGTAGTCATCACTGAAACTACTTCACAGACTAATCTGGTGTCTGGAAACCAGACTTACATGTTACCAGTGCAGAAACTGCATTTCCATGTCGTTACGCCGGTGAAAGGCACATGATGTCTATGCAGTTTCACGCTCCACCCTTCGTCCATAAGCTTATTTATCTTACCTCAGTATACCCTCGGTATTGTGTATACTGTCTTCACTATACTCCGTACTCTAGTGTCCATCTGTAAACTGTTCATTGTTGTTGAGGGCATGAAACTCAGTGTCCATGAAAGTCATTTTAGCAGGGAGTGAGGTTCCATACCTTCGATTTCTTCTCATTTTCTTTTTTGTATATCAAAGTAACTGAATTATCAACAGGTTTGGATTGTTATTAAATTATTGTTTTTATTTTAAAAGCATAGGTTGATGTTTTTGGAAGAAAATGGAATAAAACGTCATCTGATTCTGAGCTCCTAATAGTTATTTGGTGACACCTCCACAAACACTTTAAAAGGTCATAACACATTTACTGGCTGGTACCTGAGCACTGATTCATGATTAGCTCAGTTGTGACGGTAAAACTTCAAATATTCACACAGAGAAGCTACGGTTCAGTTGAAATTCATTTATTGATAATTAAACATTTCAAAGAACATAGGACAAAACGTAATTTAAAACAAAATGATAACATTTGTGTTCATTGTCATTCATACAAGTTGAATGTGGCATCAAAAATCGTTGTTTTAGGGGAAAGGGGGAGTTGAGCGTTGAACCAGCAACCGATCCTGAGCCAGGTTATTCAACTCTGAAATGAAGGGCCTACCGATGTGCTCTTAAGCAAGGCACTTAACCCCAAAGTGGCCCCAGGGGCACGTTTACAAAACACTAAGACATCCCACCTAAATGTCCCACGTCCAGCTCTGGCTGTGATTGCCTGGTACTCTTGATTGACAGGCTGTTAGGTACGGGATGTACTAACAACATGACTGCTTCAGACAGGGTTCAGATTTAGACTAAAAGACGACAGACGTGTCCTCCAAATCTTGTGTGAGAGGTCAGTATGTTGGGAGCAGGAATGTATGAGCAGGGTATGCTTGGGGGAAAATGCAGGTATATGATCAGGAAAATCAAAAGCAGGAACAAAAGGTCATCTCCCATTTAAAAAAAAAAAACAACAAAAAAAAAACAAGGGGTGATGGGGAATCCATTTCCACAAAATCTGAAATCCTGACAAAGAAAAATCCCTGACGACAGGTAAGGAACAGGAAGCATGGACATAGGTGTATCTGTATGTGTGTATGAGTGGGTTTGTGAGTGTGTACGCGTGTTTCGGGAAGGGGCAGGAGTGTGTGGTCTGAGTGTTTACCTTAGTGGGGGGACACCCCATCGTCCACAGCATTTTCAGGCCTAACGCTGCTGTTTTCCCCATCCCACGCTACAGCTGCGTGTGGCGTACGTCCAGGGCAAGGGCTCAGTTTGGCTCCCTCCCACTCTAGCTGCAATAATCAGCAAGAGGAAGAAGGTGGCTGGAGCAGCAGCAACAACAAGGCATGCAACTAACAGTTTACATGGAGAAGGTGGAATAATGTGGACATTTAGAGAGGCTATGTGTCACTTAAACCAAACAAAGCACTACCAACTCAGGTGGCGAATAAGAAATAAGATGAGTAACTAGTGTGTGGTACAATCACGAACGGAACAACTACTGTAAGTCACATAAAATGCAGGTGGAATCAGATGTGCATTAGTATCATTTGCACGTGTTGTCTGCTTTACGTGAGTAATACAATGAAGCCAGTTAGAATTCATCTAGATATAAGTGTGGAGTTGTCTGGTATGAATGCAGAGAAAGTCAGTAATCCTGTGTCAAAATAAGGTGTGTTTTTCTGAAGAGATCAGATGAGGGAAAAGTGAAAGGTCATCGTCCCTTCTCACTGTTGCTCGGGAAAAAATCAGCGGTCTAAATCCAAAACAACCTTCGTGTTCACCTGCAGCAACTATGTCACCTCATATCCACTCAGTCAGTAACCCCACGCATCCGCAGCACGCCACTGCAGTTAGAGGAAAACACACTTTTACCTGCTCTCAGCTCAAATGGTGAATCACTGTTTTGTCCAACCTTTAGAATCTGCATTACAGCGTGTTTGTCATATACAGCTACTGCCACACAAACAACCCGAATGTCCTACTTCATCTCGTCCATTTGCTACCTCCAACTGTTTAAGAATAAATACAATCATTTAATCTTAATATATTCAGTCAGTATTCTTACCGCTCAACCAAATGTTGGTTGGCATTACCATGTCAATTTAATATAAGGTTTTACACAAGTATCAAATTGTTGATTTTCTGGTATGAAAACTACCTCAACTTCCCGTCAAATTGCCAAAATGGTTTGCAATGTGAGCGCAGATGTGAGAAAGAAGCTAATGATAGAAAATGAAAATTTATAATGCTCTCTTGGCCAAACCATGCTGCCATTCCTCTGGCTTATATAAATTCCAATATGTACAACACTTTGTCTTCCTCAGTCTGAAAAAAATATCAAAAACCTGGGTTAAACTGAGAACTTTCTTTTCACACAGGATGCTCAGATAGCAATTCAACACAAAACTGATCCAGAAAGAATGAAAAAGAAAGAAGGGTGAATAAAATATGAAACTAAATACGATTCTGTTCTAATATTTTAGAGGCAAACACTGACCTTTGATCAAAAACTAGGATATATTTAACTCCTGAGAGTGAGACTTTCATCTTTATTTGTTTGTGTACACACAGCAAGCCTTGGCTATCCAAGAAAAAATAAAATATGGCAAACCGTGCTGAGAGAATATCCAAGTAATAAATATCCGCCGCATGTTAAGCAGACTCTCCGAATGAAACAAGAAGGCCTGTGTGGACTACAAATTTACTCCGTAGTCACTCTTCAAACCCTAAAATCAACAGGTAGGCTCAAGAAATCCTTTAACACTAGCAAAATACAATCACAAAATCACAATATGCTGAGTTAGAAGTGTGACGTGTTTAACCTTCAATTTCAACGGGGTGATTTGTGATTGTTGCCATTTCATAGATTTCTATTACCTAAAATTTAGAGGGGCAAAAATGATAAGCCATCTCTTTCGAGTATGAATTGCTTGATTACCACCAAACCTGTGGGAGCTCCGTGAAACCAGCCTCAAACATAATCATAATAAGACAGTCTGGTCAATTAAACATTCTCAAGCTTTACAAAAAGAAGGTTCTTCAGTAAAGTAAAAACGTGTCTGATGCACTGCTCAATATCAATTCTGCTTCTAGTCGACATCTATTACCATTTAGGCAGTTAAATGTCTGGACGAACTGGACTGTGGCTATTACAAATGGGTCAATGCAGCTGAATTCAAACAGAGCTCTGTTACATACTTCACACAGAATGTCCCTACACCAACAAAAGTGTGGATTTGGATGTGTATTTTAAATACTTAAAGGAAAACTAAGTAGTTTTTAAGACATAAAGATAGGCCAGATGGATAACTTTCTCTTTCTTCCAGGGCTCCAGTTTGTCTGCTTAAATGCAATTTAACAGTTTTTATACATATTTAATAATTTAGCGGTGTTTTTCATTTTGTGCCCTACTTGAAACGTGTGATGATGCAGTTTATGATTTCCTGTTATAAATGTTGGACTGCGCATTTTGCAAGGAAATCCCCATTTCGTACACATTTTTATTTACAGTATATAAAAATGCCTTCATCCAGTAACAAAATGCTTCTCCTGTGAAATCCTACCCTAGCCTCTGCGTCTAACTTTGTCCCTAGAAACATTTAAGCCTCTTTAAACATTCAACAAGGAACCAGCTGCGCCTCTATAACATAAAAGAAACTATGAATGCTTGACAATATTCCAATATTAGCTTATCTCCACTTGTCCAAAGACCTTAACTCATTTAATCACCTACTTAACTCAACAGCCATCAACTGACAGGTAAGTTAAGGTGGAGAAACGGGGGAGATGCTTCAGATTTAAAGCACATTCGAAATTACAACCTTGCTCCCTCTCTGATTTTCCTCTTTAAACTGTCCCTAATGTAAATACACATGCACACACACACAAACACACGCGCACACACACACGCACACATCTGCAGTGTGGAAAGAGTGTTTGGGGGTGGGGACTATCGATAAGGGGGTTCTGGCGTGTGGTAAGGGTAATCATGGCGCTGGGGCATGGGTTGCCCGTGTGCGGGTGTCTGCTCATACGGTGTGGATGTTGAGTAGCTTCCCGCTGCTGCGTAAGCTCCTGATGAATCATATGCTCCTGATGCCCCGTAACCTCCGGACGCGTCATAGCTTCCTGCCGAGGCATCGTAGTTCCCAGATGAAGCGTTGTAGCTCGCCGAAGCGTCGTATGTTCCCGGCGGTGGGTAGGCTCCCGATGCGGCATACGTCGGGGGTGCAGAGTATGTCCCTGGCGGTGCGGTGGCTGTGGTGGAAGCCTGTACCTGCGTGGTGGCCGGTGCAGGTGGAGGAGGTGGCGGAGGAGGAGGAGGATTGGTGTAGGCATACTGGAGGTACTGGTACTGTTGCTGGTACTGTTGATACTGTTGGTATTGATGCATTTGCTGGTAGTACTCTGTGTAAGACCTGGAGTGCAGTTTACAGTTGAAGAATAAGTAGAAGAAAGGAGAAACAAAGCTAAATTAGTACAAAAATAAATCACATCTTGCAGAGATTTTTGTTTTTTGCGTAATGTCTTTGTAAAGCACTTACTCAGTGACTGATCAGTGTAAATATACTATTAGTTATGTGGTTAATATTATTCTATGTGCTAGTGAGAGCAGGCTTAATATGCTTATGTTTCTTCTGCCTCCATCCCACATTAAAATGTGTTGTGTGTACCTAGCTACAGGATCTGACCCTTCAGGAGTGTTGGTTGCAGCTGCGGGCTCTTCGGGTCCTCCAGGTGGCGTTGGCAGCAGGGCCCTGCGTTTGGGTCGTATCTGAGCGAAGGAACCAGGAACTGGGTCGGGGAGGAGGGGGGCTCGATTTCCTCTGATTGGGCTGCGGTCCCGCTCATTATCTGAAGCTGCTGCCTTTCTTCCTGCCTGCTGCTCTGCCAGAACCTTTAATTAAAAATATGTCAGTTAATATACATACAAAAAAGGTAAAACACAAAAACTAGGGCTGGCCCGAATTACATTTTTTGAGCTCCGAAGTTAACAGCAATTATTTGAAGCTTCGCCGAGGGTGGGTTGGCTCAGCTCAACATTAACATTGGTCATGAGTGTGTGAGTCTGTGTGTGTGTGCGCGCGCCGTTCCTTTAATTCCATAACGTAGGCTAAACAAGAACAATTTATTAACCAAAACTTTGTTACAGCTAGACTTGAAGTAGTGCCGGGCAATAAAACGATGATGATTATTGAGATATAGTTTTCCTCAATAACAATATAACAAATGTTCATTTGAATCACAATCCAATTTGAACTTAATTTTTCTCAGGCAGCCGGTAAGAAGGCTATAACACGGAGATGGTTAAACGAGGAGCCACCAACTGTAATAGAATGGACAGACATAATACACGACCTTTACGTTATGGAGCACCTAACTTTCTCCCTCAGGCACTCATCGGAGAAAGGTGAACAGTACTGGAGAAAATGGAAACATTTTGTTGGTGAGGTGTCGCGGTAGAACCGGATGGGAACTATATGTAAAAGGTTGATTTAACAAACCTACCCCTCCCCCCCCTCCCTTTTTCTTTCTTACTGGATGGCTCTGTTAACTGTTTAATTTTGTCAGTCCTCTTTATGTCTTGTGTAGCTTTTTGTTACGGTTTATAAAAAGAAAACGAAAAGTATTCAATAAAAACAAAATTTCAAAAACAAAAAAAGAACTTCATTTTTCTATCAAGATGTCTACTTTGTTGAAGGGACTGAAAAAATATTTTGCTTAATTTTACTCATGCATATTTGTTGAAAAAACATTTTATCATAATTGTTTGTTTCTTCTACCTCAGATTTGTGAAGTGATCCACTGTTTGGCATCCAGTGTTTGTCATGTTCTGACTGTAAATCATAGTTTAAAACCACAATTAACCATCTGGTTTCTTCAACTTTCACTCAGGAGCAAAAATCAGCCTTTAAACTTGAACTAAATTATGATTTGACATATATAGTGATAATTATTGATATGGAATTATATAGAAATTTTTACTGTGAGAAACATTTTGGTGCCCTGCCCCAACTTATATGCAAAATTTGCTTTTAACTTGAATCAATTTTAATATGGAGGCTATTTGACTTTTTTGATATTTAATGAAACAAAGTAATTAAATAAACCCCATAAATGCCAAACTCATGTCATGCCATGTCATCACTCAATTGAAAGTGCTCCCAAACAACAGAGGTTTTCCGCATTGGGTTTTTGTTGGGAACCACACCCCCAAAAACTTGAATCCCAAAACTGAAAATCGAATACCTAACCAACCAACCAACGAATATTCGGGTCTAGCCTTAAAAACCAACATATACATTTTTACTTCAATGTTAAAAGACCTTCTGTCCTTCTTGAAAGAACTTGGCTCTCGCTGCCTCGAAAAGCGTTGTTGGATCTGGTCCGGTCTGTGGCTCTACTTCTTCAACAACGGCACTGGTTCCAGGATTGTGATTGGCCATATCTTGGTACACCTGGTCAGCAACAGATCCATACACCTGGCTGGCAAGAGCGCCATAAATCACCCCATCAGCACCTTTAGCGCTTGTAATGCCCTTTAGGGCAGCGTAGGTGGGATCAAAGGATGTGGTGTTGTAGAATGAGTTATGGACACTTTGTTGAACCTGCAGAAAAAGACGAGACACCAGCATTTAAAACATTGAATACACTCGAAGCTAATTTATCTAAACAACAATATAGGTCAAGGAAGTGCAAGTGTATGTTTCTGCAAAGGATCAGGTTTACAATAAGCCTACTAACAACTGTCTTTGACAGTTTAACTCAAGAGCTGCTATGTTATTTCCACAGCTGTCTCAGTTTTCAAAGAACATAAGTTAGAGGTTTTCCAAGATAGTGATTGGCCTGCAGGAAAATGAACTTACTTGTATGGGTAGACCAGCTGCGGCAGCTGCAGCTGCTGCTAGCACGGCTGCTTGACTCTGGTGATGCTCTAGTGATGGAGGTGGTCTCGGAAGAAGACCCTCCCTGCCACCTGCAAGTAGAAGGGAGTAGAAAACATGGTGAGAACACAGCCATGGGTTGTTTTCAGCATTTAACTATATGCAAAACACTTCCAAAACAAATGGATCCTTCATCTCCACCTGCTGTTCCGCCAGCGCTCGCTGAATTTCCGCCCATTGCAATCTGGTTGATTAAAGGTTGGGCTTTGGAAAGCTCAACGGCCAACTGACGGCTCTTGTACATGGTGCCGTTGAGTGCCTCAATAGCAGCCAAGGCCTCCTCCTTCCTCTCCATATGCACAAACGCATAGCCAACATTTGAGCATAATCTGGCTGTAGAGTATACAGGAAGCAGGGACATCAGCGTTAGCGTGAGACATTGACTTCAAAAGAAAATGCATCAACGCACTGTTTTTACTGTCACTTTATGTTTAGCATTATTACCTTCTAAGATTTAACACTTGAAACATTAAACACCCATCAAGATGCAGTTGTGCTCTCAGAAAAATGAACACCGTAATCTGACGAAATCTGTACAAACCAGCTAGTTTCCACTACCATCTGACTTTTTATGAAAATGTCTGCATATATGTGTACCATCAGTACTGGTAGGCCTACTAACTCACCTTTGACTTTATCACAGTCTAAAACTCTTCCAAAGGTTGAGAACAGCCCGTGCAAGTCATCTGCTGAACATGTTGCACTGAGGTTCCCCACAAACACTTTAGTGGAGTTGGGTGGGCGTGCACGTGACTCCTCGACCACCAGGGGCCTGCCTCTGTACTCTTTTCCATCAAGATGCCTTATGGCCCTGTGACAATAAGAACAATAATTATCTTTGTCGTCATCATCATCATCATCATGTGTACAGTGGCGAGATTAACACTAAAATAACAGACATTTTAACTGGGGGAAAAATATAAATAAATAAAACATGTAGAATAGAAATAAAATTTATAGAATAGAAATTTGAACCTAAAACCAGCCAAATGCTACCAGTCTTATTAGTGGACTCTCCCCTAATCAGAATTCTAGTTGCCTTTTGATAGTGTAACAGACAATGCTCAAAGCCGATTAGGTTTTTTACACACCTCAAGACGTAATGTGCCTTTTCTGTTGAGTGTATTTCAGGATTCTATCAAAGACTTATATTAAGAAAAGAAGTGTTGCCAGGCAAGCTCTTACATCCGAACGTTATGCACATATATCAAGACTTTTAAAAACTGCTTTGTAAACAACAGGTACACTGGTATGGTCAAATGTTTTTCTTTCTGTCCATACTTGATACTATATTAGTAAGTATATATATATGCTTGTAACATTTATGATGTAGTAACACTGATTGACCTTTCTGTACAATCTCCATAAAAATACAGACACATTACAACATAGATGCATCTTTCTGTAGTTTATAATTTCATCTATTTTGTTTGTTCATAATACCATCATTTCTGTACAGTATTTTTTCTTATAATTTATGAAATAGTAAATGGTACCCAGCACTTTCTTTCATGACTGTACCATAATTTGTCATTTGCATTGCCTGTGCTCGACACAAATATTGTTTTGTATTTTTATCTTATACTATATGTATATTTTGCTATGTATAAATTATAATACACACACACCGAATACTATGTTGATGTGTATTGATATGTATTTTACGATCATTAGCAACGTTTTCTTCTGGATGAACAAACTTTTTTATTATCATATGTTGAAACAATAAATAAAAACAGACTGGTTGGACTGATTTAATTAACAATAATTTAGTATTGGATAAAAAGTGGTTAAATCAGTAAATGTAAACCCCCTGGACTCAGGTACCCGATGAGCAAAAGTGGCAAAAACTAACGTTACTCTTAACTCTGAGCTTATGTATAAAAGGCTAAATACCGATGACAGGCAAGAATGTTTCTAGAATAGCAATTCATTCATAATATCTACTAACAGCAATGAAAAGTTGAATACCTGTCTGCAGCCCCCTCTCCCCTCAGGGTGACGAAGGCATACTGTCTGAGCAGAGAGCAGGTGTTGATCTCTCCATATGGAGCGAAGAGCTTGTTTAGCTCGTCGTGAGTTGCATCTAAAGGAAGGTTCCCCACAAACAACTTCACGTTCTCACCGCTCATCTCTGTATCAACCAGACATCTGCAAAAAGAGTAAACAGTGCGAGTTGGTTAAGTCTGATACTTTCGGGTAACGTTAACGCTAACTGTTTAAAGTTGGTGAATCTCAAAAGAAATCTCGCGTTTGCCTAAATCCCGAGTGTCTGATTCTGACGTTAGTTGATTTTATTCCTCTGCAGTGACACTGACAGGCGGGGTTATTATTTAGAAATTGTGTTATTACGTTAACTTACATTACCAACTGGTAAGGTTAAGACGCATACTGGCGTTAGCTAGCCATGTATAATTTGCTAAGCTAATTACCTCGTTAACTTTCGCCGCGAAATGGATCCAATGAAGTTCGAGACAGTCGGTATAACCGCTAGGTTAACGTTAGCTACCTAATGACACACAAACGACGCATAAATGATAACATAATATTGGTTGTATGGTGAAATGTAAGTTTACATACATACCAATTACGTTAGTTAGCTAAAAGTACTGGCACTACTGGCCATTTTGTTAAACGCAAACATTAACGATGTAGCTAACGTTTGCTAAGCTAGCTAGCTAGCTAAGCTAACGCGGTGGTTTTATCATAGTGGTTGAAAACATTTGCTTAAGATAGAGATCCACCACTTCTATGAGTTAGCATAAAGTCTTAACTAAGTTACCGCTAATACTATCGCGTTTTAAGCGTTGTACAGAAAGGACGACTATAATGAATTATGGCAACATAGTACACAGACTTCTTACCCAACGCGGTCCTGCTGGAGCTGTTTCAAACCTCACATCCGGCTCCGCTTTCTGGAGTCTTCTTGGTGCGCTGGCAGCCATGGGGGCGCAGTTTCATCTAGTTTACACCACAGTTTGCACAAGATGGCAGATGGTTTATGACACCACAGTCGCACAGGTGCCAAAGTGTACGGTCCTTAAGACATTACTGGTGTTATCACATTCATGATGTAGCTATGTTGTTATACTGTTGCTAAAGTTACTAACATTGGTACTGTTTTCTACCAAACACAAGGACAAGTATCCTGCTGCATATATGATCTGCATTAACAACTAATCTAGTAACGTTACTACTACTACTAAGTTACTACACTTAAATTTACGGCCACCGTTAAGCATACTGTAATTACAATACTAAAAACGTTCAGACACGTGAGCCTAGCTCCCAGGACACATCACATTTGTTTCCAGGTGAGATTAGGTGGGAGGGGAGGAGGAGCCAGAAACAAAGGTGACATCTCCGGATCTGGAAACACAGGTTATGACAGGCCAAAGTGGAAGAGAAGTTGATGGAAGAATAAGCATGCCATCATAAAGTGGATCCGAAGGGGATAAGAAGAAGGATCGGGGCAAAGAGGTACACAACAAGCCTGGTAATATTACAATGAGAGGCGCGCAGTTACAAAGTTTAGACGTAACACGTTGTGTGATTGTACAACAGGGAGACACTGTGCGCTACACAGTTTGAAGAGGAAATGTACAATTTTTACAGGAATGTGCGCTGCGGCTAGACGGCAGCTTTAAGATTGATTGATTTGACATGTTCAGAATAATATCGTTAAACCAACTACATCATTGCCAGAACTTTATTTTTTAATATTTAATGTTACATCGCCTTCTGTGGCGTTTGTGTATCCTATTTGTGTGTAAATAGTTTGTTTCCCATACCTATTTCATTTAAGCTCTGTCTGAGCTGCTGCACTTTACCAAGTCTGGACTTGCTGTCCCACTCCAGGCAGATTCATTATGCAGGTGTGTGTGTTTCTGTGTGCAGCCAGCCCACCCAGCTTTCTGGTGTGAATTTGAGCCACATGAGCAGATAATAACCATCTACATACACTATGGGAGTGCATTATCAGATGCAGCACAATTACTATAATAGACATGTGTGTACCTTGTGTGTGTGTGTGTAGATGGCACAGCAAGAAGAACCTCTGTATGATTTCCCAGAGCCCACCCAGCCATCGGTGCACAAGTTCTTGGGGCATCAAAGGGGACGGGCCTCTCTGAGAAGCATCAGCGTCCTGGACCGTCTACTGCTCACAGTTCCTGTCTGGTTTCAGCTGTCAATCAACCCTGCCACCGCACTGCACATAATGCAGAGGGAGCCTCCTGGGGTCAGAGCCACATGCACTTAAACTAAAAAAAAACACAAGGACACCATTTGTCGGGATATACACACATATAATCCGCAGACACACACGATGTATACCTCTCTTGCCTTCTCTTTCGATGTCCTACATACTCACACATGCACTCAGTCATCAGCTGTGTTGTCCTGCAGGCCTTCCTGGTGCGGAAGTCTCGCACATCGCAGAGAAACGTGCTGTGTGTCCGTTTGGCGGATGACAGCGTGCCGTCCTTTGTTCAGCAGTTTGGCATCAGGGAGGAACACTCCAGTAAGAGGAAGACACTCACAAACCCTCACCCTTCCTTTCATATGTGATTTCTATGTCTGACTCCAAACACTTTACGATCACCAAGACTGAATCTGCCTTATTTGGAACAGAAATATATAATCATACCTGTGTACTATCATATCAAGTCTCTGATTACACTAGCTGGTTGTGATGTATATACTTAAATTACATGAAATGAGAGGCTACTTTGCTTCAGTTCCCCAACCAAACCAAAGAGCTTAACTTCGGCACAACGCTGAAAACGGAGCATTACATTTATTTCAATTTTACTGTTCTTATTTCTGTTCATTGACCATTGGTCATGTATGCTTTACAGTATTGCCGACCATTTTATGGTGTAGCCGACTGTACAGTAGCCTAACTGTTCCTGGTTTCCCTGCAAGTCTCAGCAAGGTTATTTTAATGCTGAACTGATTTAATTCAAATGGCAACCACTGGGTCTCTGGAATGCACAAAATCAATTCTGACAAACATATTTACGCTTTATAATTGAGAAACTACTAGTATGGTCCTGAAACAGAGCTTTGCTCCAGTACTGCACAGTATTTACACATTGCATCTAGCTTTCAAATCAAAAGGAATATAACTTTCAGTGAGCTCCTGTCAAAGTTTTTTTAATATTCATACACACACACACACAGTCCCAATAAATAAGACCTCAGAAGCAGTACAATGACATTGTTGATACTAACAATCCTTCTCCCGCCCCAAACATTTTCTCACCCTCAGCTCTGCGTCTGGAGACTTCAGCCATCAGCTTTCCAGATCTCCCAAGACTAATTTCCTTCTACTGTATCAGCAGGTAAATCCTGTTCTCTATTTGTGCCTCCTTTACGCTCTCATACCTTATACTGTATATACTTCCTCTACAGTGTGTTATCATCAGTTTTTCATTTTTTTCTACACTGATTACTGATAATATATATTGATATTAAAACTAATGTTGGTGTTTACATATATTATATACATACTTGTGTATATATATAATTTCTCTGTGTGTCAGAGATGTATTACCCTTCCCTCTGGAGCTTCCTGAAGCCATTGCAAAGGCAACATCCCACAAAGAGCTTGAGTCCATCTCACATATGGGAATAGGTTTGTGAACACAACACTTTGTTTCTTGCTTGATTTTGTAACCTCAACCTCAAGTACATGGGCTTTAAAATAATTTATTTACACAACTTCCAGCTGCTGGGTAGCAAACATAAACACCGGAAAAATTGTGTTTAGTTATTTATTTTTATTTTGTCCATTTCAGGATGAATGAGTAAACAGAGAAACTCGTTTAGTGAAGTTTTATTGATGAATTATAATATAGTCAACAGTCTGTATTGCCATTAAACATACTATTTTCTATAATTACTTGTTCATATGAAATATCAAACTGAAAACTAAAAAATTTATTAATTAAAAACTAAATACACTCCTTATTTGGGTTAGACATATTGTACTGTTTAAAATGGGGTGGTCAATTCTAAAGTTTTGCATTAAAGGATGACACAATTGTTAGAAGATGGTTGCAGACTTGTCAAGAGTTAATATTTTTTTAGCATTGAATAGATTATTTATTTTATAGTCATTTAAAAAATGTTTTCTACAGTTAATGATATTCTCAACATTACAAAGGAAGATATGGTAATTGACCAATTAAGTGGAAACCACTGTTTCACTATTATGAAAAAACATTCATGTTGTTTTATAGAATTCTGGAGTTCCCAGCTAAACGTCCGGGGGCCACGAGAGGCACCTAAGCCTCAGAAGAACATGGAGAAGAAGCCAGACACTGTAACCTCAGCCCTGACTGCTGCTGCCCCACAGACCAGCTCTGCTGCCCAGCCTAATTTAGCCCCTCAGCCCGACTTGGACAACCACCTCAAGACAGCACATGAATCAGACACTGCCTCCAAACAATCAGGCCTCAATCCCACCCTGTTCCGTGAGTTTTGTCCAATCACAACACGCAGCCCCAAAGAGCTGGACTGTGGCTCTGGCCAGGGCGCTCTCTGTTTCGTCAACCCCCTTTTCCTGCAGTCGCAGAACACTTTGTCCAGACGGCGTATGTTCAAACACAGCGTCAAGGTTCGGGTTTCCACTGAGACGTCGACCATGCTGTCGCCCCCGTTTGCCCCCCCTCCTCCACCACCTCTAATGCCCAAAACCAAAAGGAAATGTACAGTCCAGAAATGTGGACAAGAAACCGCCCATCCCAGTGAAGGCCCGGGCCTTTTACAGGGTGAGAAGCCAAGTCAAGCCATTCAGATTCTCACAGTTCAGGACACTCGGCCCCAGCCTGTGATACAGGCTCACGTGGAACCAGGCCCAAGTAAAGCTGGAGTCATGGGAGAAGAGGCTACAGTTCAGCTACCAACAGTAATAGAGCAACTTCCGGATGTCTCAGACTACATGCAGCCCTCTGCAATGATCAGTTTCTCCCATTCTCCAGTTGTTTCTCCCACGGCGCCTTCCCTTTTCCCCAAAGTATCTTCGTCCAGCTCGCCTCATGACTCTCCAGGTGCTACTCCCAATCTCTCCCCTTACCTCTCCCCATGTTCTTCTCCCATGGCACCTCCGCTTTTCCCCAAAGTATCTTCGTCCAGCTCGCCTCATGACTCTCCAGGTGCTACTCCCAATCTCTCTCCTTACCTCTCCCCATGTTCTTCTCCCATGGCGCCTCCGCTTTTCCCCAAAGTATCTTCATCCCGCTCTCCTCATGACTCTCCCAGTGTTCCTCCCAATACTTACCTCTCCCCATCTTCTTATCCCATGGCGCCTCCACTTTTTCCCAAAGTATCTTCAACCCGCTCTCATGACTTGGCTTCTCCCTCTCTGTCGCCTCATCAATCCCCATCTCTCTCTCCATGTGACTCACCAAGTGCTTCGCCCCCCCCTTTCACAGTCCCCATCTCCTCCTAAGCTCATCCCCTATATCTCTCCCATCACCTCTCCATCCTTCTCTCAGCTGGTAGAGCAGGCCTATCACACACCTGCCTCATCTTTAAGATCAGATCATCAAAGACCAGTGAGCGAGGCTGAGGAGGAGGGAGCAGGAGTGGATCAAAATGAGGACGAAGATGATGAGGAACTGCACAAAAAGAGGGAAGAGGAGGAGAGGGGTCTGGTTTTACAGATGAATGCTGCCTCTCTAAATGAGACAGACAGCTGCAGCTCCTTCAGCAGTGTTGAAGTAGCAGCAGAGACTCCATCTCACTCACCCTACAAACAGGAAATGGTACAAGCCTCCTCAGAACATTTTAGACTCTAACTGACTACAGTATGTTTTATCATGGAGCACTGTGTAGAATCACATAGTATAAATTCACAAGTTTTATAAAACCAAAAAAGCTAATGATACGGGTTGTTTTGCATGTTAAAAGTGCAACTTGTGTACATGTTTTATGAAGTTATATTGTGAACCATTTTAAAGCAAACCCAAACAGATTTCCTACCTGACCAGGGAGCCATTTCTTTCCTTTTAATATCAGTATTTTCTGAAAATTAAACTGCAGGGGCATTAAACTTGAGTTACATAGTCCACCACAGGTGCCTTCTACTGTCATATCTATTAGAATAAAAGCTGAGATTTCACTTTGTGTTTAACTCCTCCTCTCTGCAGACATTTTGATATACAGACCTTCAGACTTCAACTAAGCATGTGTTACTTTGATACAAGTTCTACTTAAATCATCAAGGCTATTTATGTTATTAAAATCTAATCTCAGATTATTGTTTACCTTCTTAAAAACAAATGTCCTATGGCTCTGGTAGAAAAACATACAACTAAGATTTTATCAAACAATTTTTATTTGTGTATTCAACACATTTCTTGCATACAGTATTTTATTAGGCCTTCCAGACACAGCAATATTTTATACAGTCAAGTATTCGATTACTTCTTTATTCCAAACATGGCAAAAAATAAAGTATTATTTTGCCGTACAGTCAACATTAAGTTCTCATGGCAGCTAGTTAACAGTCTTAACCTGTCAAATCATCACCAACACCAAGGCTGGACAAATATGTTTATTTAATGGATGAGCTGTAAAGATGGCAGAATTTGTAGCCAAACGTTGACCGTGAAAATCAATCATTCCCAGTACAGACAAAACATCTCATGTTTGTTTCGTGAACATTTGAAGCCAATTTCTGACCTTGCCATGATTATAAGGTGAAAACTACCAACAGTCACCTACTCGTTTATACACAGGAACCATTTTTATTGTCAGTGTTTGTTTAATGGACAGTTCTCAATACTTCTCATTAGAAAAATACATTTCCTAAATGAATCTACAAGATTGATGATGTGGTGTTCATTTTCAACTTGTTTAGTTGTATTTCATCATGTTATCAAAGAGACCTGACACTGGACCGTGGCTGGAAAAACTGTGGCTGTTGTCTTTGGCAGATCTGCTCCAGTCTTATGGCTTTATTTGAAGTAGGAAACTTTAGTCCGTTAAGAAGTGTCTTCTGAAAAGGATCAGTTTGTAGTTTTTTGTGTTTTAACATCCATTAAAAATCAGTTTGCTTTCACATCACATTTCAATCAAAAAAAAAAAAAAAAAAAAACTGATTTCAGTTGGTATTTCTGAAGCCTATGGAGCAGATCATCCATCCATCAACACCAGCAGGGGCCGTCTCTTTTGCTCATTTCCAAAAGGTCTGCCTCCAGCTGCTCTGCGTCGTCTTGGAAGCGCTCCGTGAAAGAGCGAATCAAACCTGCCGCACTGCCTTCGTATTCCACCAGCTCCACGCTGTCCCCTGGAAACCACACAAACAGAGTCCGACACTGAATACTTAACTGGACTGACGTAGCAAGTGTGACAATATAGGTCTCTATGTGTGCATCTGTGTTAACGAACTTGAGTGAGGGTACATACCACTGACTCTGGTGTTGGCCTGGACAAACATCTTACGAGCTTCCTTCCTCAGCAGTACCGTCTCCCGGAGACGCAAGAAGTTGTGAGCACCGCTGTCGTTGACGGCGGAGTAGCCGTCATAGAGAGCCCTGCCTCCTTCCACATCTGCTGTTGACTTTAAGACCTACAAGACGGTGGAATCAGGTCAGCAAGGGGTCATTAATCCTTGATATCAGGTTAGTACTAAGACAGAGAAGCCAGAAAACCCTCTTTAGTTGTTGGGTAATACAGTGGAGACTTAATAATTGAGCTCACTATGATTACTATGGAGTTTTAAAAAGTACAAATTAAACAACTAGATCCAATTATTATTAAGTATTTGGTTGGATTTGTGACTTTGTTAAAGCTTAATTTTATATTTTACTTCTTTTAAAAAAATTTTTTAACTACAGCTACAACTAAGAATTATTTTAAAAATATATAAAACAATAAAATTATTTTAAAAAGTTTACTTTTCATTTGTGCAAATTCAATATTTTTTTTAGAATTTTATGTATTTTCCTCAATATGTTGTACTTGTTATATAGCTGTCTGGGCAATTGTCTGAAGTATGGATATACCTGCAGTTTACAAAGGAACCTGTGGATGGCGTTCTTTCCCACAGTGTGGATCTTGCTTCGGTCCAGTGTGATTCGAGCATCAGGGTTGCCGTCCTGTCCTGTCACTTCCTCCAGCCCCACTAGGCCCTCCCCGGCCTCCAGCAGAACACGCAGGATCACGAAACGAGCCTGCATGTGAGCCTGAGACACACACACGTGATGTACACTGTATACATCTCCTGACACTCCTGTAAACACAGACAGGCCTATGAAGCTGAGCCAGTCAGGCTGTAAGAAACACTTCCTTAATGGTCTGTATGTTGACTCATCTTGTAAATACTGTTCGCCCAACACTATGCATCTCTGACGTTCTTTATAAATGAAAGTTATGATTCATCATTACATGTTGCAAAGTAAAGAGCGATCATGTCATGGAGAAAAGCAACTCGTTGAGCAGACAGATTACCTGTCTCCAGCTCTTGCTCTCAGGCGTGTAGAATTCCAGGCCCAGAAGTCCCGCTCTGACCATGCTGAGCCAGTTGATGTACACCACATCCTCCGCATCCTGGCCCTCATGCCCAAAAATACTGCAACACACACGCAGGCAAAGATCAACATGCTGGCCTCCCTTATAGCCATCAGCCACAAATCACCAGAAATAATAACCACTCCACATTCCAATAACTGTCATTAAAAGAGCCTAAATAACATGATGAGATTAATTATTTTCCCCAAAATGTGATCAATAAAGTGAGAGAGTGTATGTGGCACAAGTAATAACATAGTCAGCCAGAGCTATAAAGAAACAATTTTTATAATGACCCCAAGTCACAAAATGTTCTCCGAGCTAAAGAAATCTAGAGATTTAGAGGATTTGGGGACCATAACAACTTTTTTTGGACTATAAAAAAACATTATGGTAGTGTTTCTTAAATTTATGGCTAGATTGCAGATAACATCTCTTACATTCAAGCCCTTGCCAAAAAGTTCACACAATGCTGATTAAGCCTATCACTGGCAGGTCAATTTCTCTGTATTTCACAGTATCCTAGAGTTTTTAAATATAGTGTCTGTGGCGACACTCCTGCCCTGGTGAACTGGTAATGATGTATTTTACATCAGCCAGAAATTATTGGTTTGCCAGAGCTGAAGAGGAGCGACCGCAGTGATGGTGTAGGCTACAGCACAAGTATGACAGAACTTATGGTGGGAAAAATCTAAAAAGTCCAAGAAAGGTTTCTGATGCTCCGGATAAAAATTAAACAGAGAAAGGATAATATTCAAAAAACAGAAAGCGACCAAACGCCAAACAGGAATAACTATCGTTGTGCTAAGAGAAGGGCCTAAGGACAGACACAAATGCATTTTCTAGTTAATATCGGTTAAGTTGAACTTTTTCCTAATCAAGAGCATTCAGAATTTCCTTCCAATAGTAAATTACAGCAACAGAGTGTGTTAATTTTGAGGCAATCCAGCCAAGCCCTCCAATCATAAACACACAGTTCTAGTCGCTTGCAGCATTAACATGAGTCACATGTGTGTAACTGAATGTTGTTTTTTTTCCCCCTCTCAGAAACAACATGCGCTGTTGTTATCACGATAACATATTTAATATCATTCGATATTGATAATTATCACAATAAATATCAAATCAATATTTCTTTCAAGTTTAAAGGCTGATTTTCGCTCCTGAGTGAAAGTTAAAGAAACCAGATGGTTCATTGTGGTTTTCAACTATTCTTTATGGTCAGAACATGACAAACACTTGCCAAACTGATCTGAACAAATCTGAGGTAGAAGATTAAAAACAATTCTGATAAAATATGTAAAATTAAGTAAAATGTTTTTTCAGTACCTTTTCCTCACCAAAATAAATAAGTTAATAGAAAAATTAAGTGTTAATTTTTTGTGATTCAAATGAATTAAATCAAACATTAATTGAATATTTGTTGAACATTTGTTATATTGATAGTGAGGAAAATAATATTGCGATAATTATCGTTATTGTTTATTGCCTAGCACTACATTAAACCATTTAAGAAAATCAGGGTATTTCCCTGAAAAGACATTTTATGGGTTGTTTAAATTACATGAATTTATGTAACATACATCTTTGTCAAATACATGTAGGTTACAAGCAAAATATGAAATCACCTGAGTGCTTGCTTGTTGAGACACAGATAGAGTCCGACACACTCAGCCCGGCATTCTTCGTAAGATGAAGCAATTGTGGAGAATTTACTATCCCATGTCTCGCTGCCCCGATACCAACTGGAGACCTGAAAGATAGACTCACACCTTCAGTCTGTATATGCCAACTGAACACAAGAGTTAAAAACAGGTGGTCTCCCAAAAAACTCACCGGTTCCCCCGTCTCTGGGTTGATCACCTTGCTCTGATCAAAGTTGAACTTGCCAATGTCATCCTGTATGAAGAAATGAGGCAAAACAAATTACTGTGGTTGCTCACAGCTAATTGCTCTCTAGTCTCACTGATGTGACTGCTGTGCGGCAGCAGTATGTTTGACTGACCTTGACAAACAGCTTGCCACTTCCGTGGCCTAACAGCTCATGAAGTCCAACCTGCACCTCAAATGATGGTCCCTTCCACTTGATAAACAAATCCTAGTGCAAAAAAACATACAAACATAGGAGAATGCAAAATAATAGATATGTGGGAGAGAAAAGAGCGGGCGTGCAAGAGTCAGGAAGCGGCATTCGTTACCTTGTCCTCTTCCTCCAGGAAGGTAAGTTTTTCTTTTTGTGTAGCATAGGCTACAGCCAGCACATTGCCTAGTGACACGTTTTTAAAGCCCTCTGACTGTCTGATGTCATCATCTACACACAAAAACAAAAACATTGTGTAACAGACAGATTGTAAACTTAAACCCACTGTACTCATTATTTGACATAGCGTGCACATCTCAGTGTACATACAGTTGGGGATGTTGATGCCAGCTGGGATTCCACTGCCAGCGAAGGTGAGGACATCCAACGAGGTGAAGTCAGGTTTAAGGAAAGTGTCCTTCTCAAACTCCCTGGGCCAGGGCAGCTCAGGTAGCAAGACTTCTGCTGAGCCCACCAGTTTGGCAAAACGCTCACTCATCGCCTTGTTCACAACTGCAACAAAACCTAGAAGTGACATCACAACCCTAAAGTTAGGACAGAAACCCTTAACCCATTTCTGACTTATCCTGGAAATAGGACGGTAATAACCTCCTGTAATTTAAACACACACACACACACACACACACACGATGGTTAATAAAGTATATTGAAAGTAACATGCTGACCATGGACTTTAGCCTGTATTGATGGCAGACTACCAGCGTAACAGTGTAATATTGTGTCATTCCAAGTATTACACAACCTCCTTCACAGTTTGTGTCCCTCTAAAATCACTGGTCAATGCTAAAATTAAACATTATTTCTTATTAAAAAGCTGCATGTATTTGTTTCACAATGTTAATCTTTACCACAGCGATAAAACCTGGAGAGGTCCATGGATTACAGCTTGCATGCTGTTCTTGATCACCATGGTAGTTACCTTCAAACTCTCCTCTGGAGCCAAATGGGTCTCTGTAGCTCTCTATGAAACCTATATAACTGAGAGAAGGAGATGGGATAGGAGGTGAAGACATAACGAGGGGTAAAGAGCAGAGAGAAAAAGGTTTCAGAGATTAGTATTCAAATGTATTTGGAAATAAACAGGTACTGGATGACGGAACAACTTTCATTTTGTTGGACAGTGGGCTCACCTCTCAACAATTGGTCCCTTGTCTTTGATCCAGTAGCGTGACCCCTCTTTATGGGCTTCAATTGAGCCTAAGGTGAAGCTGCGTGTGTACTCTTCGAGCATCTTTTTCTGGTTCTCATTGGCAGCATAGGCCTGTGTTAAGTTATTTGGAAATAGAACAAGAATTTCAAACATGGAAGTGTGGCTGGGAGATTATTTTTATGTTATCAACTTATTCATCCACTCCCACACTCCTCTTAAAGACCTGCTCTATCCTTGTGTTCTCATCTCCTCCAATACTAGTCCAATACTTTGTACATTTTAAGATGCAATTTTGCCACTGTTTTGTCATTTTGGTTGTCCTTTATCTTTTATTTTCAGTAGTCTCACTGACATTTTATCATCTCCAACAACTTAACAACCACACTTCTCGATGTGGCGATTTATTCCCACTGACTTTATTTCACATCGTATCCCTTGCTCTCACCTGTGCTTGTTGGAGGTAATAGCTAACTTTCTCCATGAGAGGTGCATAGTCTCCCCTTTTCACAGTGAACTCTTTGTCTTCGAAGTTGAAGCTGCCGCAGCATGTTTCGCATTCCCCATCCACTGCACAGTCTGGAAAGCGGTAGTGTAAGTTTTTTGTCGCTTTAATCGCTGACTGTGAATCATGGTTAACAACATTAGTTACATAAAACAAATCTCTCTACATCCATTTGATGGTAATCACAATGTATTTCAAAAGCTGGAACATATAGCATAACATGTGGAGAGTACATGACATGTGATATATACAAATTATGTATGCTAAATCTGTCACAAGTGCAATATAGCTGGTGAATGTTGTAGACGTTTATAAATCTTTTTCTGGTTCTCATATAAAATGTAATATGCTTTACTGTAGTTCTGACCTTTCTGCACAGCTGAAGCCAAGCGCACCTCGTAGCAGGCTTTACCTCCATTGTCCCTCTTAAACAGACGGGTGTTGTACGCGGATAGTTTCTAGAGACAAACCGCAAAAACGTGTGTGAAAAATACATGAAAAAGCGGGAAAATACACCGACAGGATGAACCATCCATATGAAGGGAATAGGTGAGACAACACCAAGAAAAACATAAATAGGGTGCAACGAGGAAGAGATTGGTCTGTCAGAATGTTGTGAAGAGGAAGATAAAGTAAAGGTTATTACAAGAAATTATGGAAAGAGCAATGGAAATAAGAATATTCATTTTAGAGAATAGTGAATTCAGCTTACTTTTGAGTCAAGGAACCTCTGAGCTAGCTCAGCATCCTCCAGACAGCAGTTTCCTGAGAAGTAGGTGGTAATTCCCTGAAGAAAAGGAAAGCAAAAATACTTGATGAGCCATATATTTTCTCATTCGGGTCACAGGATCTGGTCACCAGCATTGGCCCCTCGAATTTTGGGGTTCAGCAGCTTCCTAAAGGGCAATTGGCAATGTCAGCAGCCAATCTAAAAACACCAACCTGCAGACCATTTGACTTAAAATGAAAATATTCAGTTTATCTTCAAAAATTAGAAAAAGAGGAAAGAGAGGAAGAATATCTCCTGTGGGCTTTTGGATTAAAACAGACACACCTGCCAGAAAGAACAAAATGTTCCAGTCCCAGCTCTAAACCAATTCTGATGCAGAATAATAAATGTCCTCTTAGCTAGGGCTAATTGCGATTTTTCTGCCAGACATTTCGATTCGATTTGCAATTATTTTTTTTTTTTAAGTTCAATATTCACTGCCAGTCTATTTTTAACGGAAGCTATGACAAGCAGCACAAAGCAGACGAACCGGGCAGAAAGTCAGACACAGAACGGCAGAGAGAATCCGGTCAGTTTTCAACACCCTGTGCAGACTCAAAAATAAACACAGTTAAAACAGACAAAAAAGAAACAATTTAAACTACGTAGCCTACTTAACCATAGTAGAAGCACAATAATCAAAGACAACTGAACAGAATCTGAACAGGTCAACAAAATCTAGCAGGCAAAATGCTCTTATTCTGAAATGCTCCATGTGGGATGTGTAGCCTGCACAGAGGGGAAGAAACCGGCTCACAGAGAGATGTTATCCATTTTTGAAGCACGCAAATTCCACCCTCTACTCAGTCAAAAAAAAAAGGCCCTCATAGACCTCATGGTGGCACTATAACAATCAATGTTTTTGCAATTATCTCGAAAACGGCTTTGTTTAGTGTCAAACTTCTTTCAGTATTTTAATCTCTGGTTTCATCTGCATCTTTGCTCCAATGGTTTTCTGCTCAAAAAATGTTAAATTATACAACTTTATCACTTTTCTCTAAAACTTAAATTTTTGCGAACTCGTCCGGTTTCGCCAATCGACCTGAAAGGTGGCGCTACACTTGCAAAAAGTTTATACCTCGTAATTCGCTGGATGGATTCGTACGAAATTCATATTGTACGTTCTCAGGTCACTACTCAGTTGATGTATAAAATTTGGTAATGATTGCGCAAAGTGGGCGTGGCTTATTACAAGAAGGGAGGTGATGGAGCAGTGGATAAGACACATGCCTTTGATGCGAGAAACCCAGGTTCAAATCCACTGTGAAACACCAATGTGTCCCTGAGCAAGACACTTAACCCCTAGTTGCTCCAGAGGCGTGCAACCTCTGACATATACAGCAATTGTAAGTGTCAGCTAAATGTATTTCCAAGAAATGTCAATTTCTTGACATTTCTCATTCCTAACTTCAAAAAATCTAAGAAAATCATCCGTACGTCCCAGAGAGCTGAAGTTTTTTCAGCACATCCACTGATATGTGACTAATGTTTGCCTCACTCCAACCTATGGTCAAATCAGAAGTCAGTCACTCTATATTTTTCAGAATATGCTAAATCAATTAACATCTAAATCTCCACAAGTCTTTCTTCAAACGCCACCAAACTCGACAGTCGTTCTCCAGATGACCGATATATAGTGTTTCAAAGCGTTTTCAGATTGGTCAAACGGTGAGTCTGCAGTGATATTCAGTATCTTGCTATAACTTGTACAGTATACACAACATTTTCTTTTTTACTCAGTTTTGGATCAAATGCCACCAAAATAATTCACAACACACCCAAAATCAGCATAATGATGTGTGATTTTTTTCAGAATTTTCTCACCTACATCTTGACTGTTGAATGTGTTTTAAGTTTAAACTGACAAAACTATCTGGCTCTGGCACATGTGACATCACTACCTCAACTTGTGAGAAAGTGTGTGGAAATGGCCTCTCACCAGTAGCTAAGTCAATAAGTCACCTACTCTAGAGATCTGCAGGTCCAGGGTTCAAATCCCTAGGTGACCAAGTCAGACTTGCAGACAATCGGGTTGTTCAGATCATAGTCTCTATTTCATTTGTATCCCGTGACACTTTCTTCTTATTTTTCTCTGCTAAAAATAGTTTATGCAGCTTAAACTTTAAATCTAGGAAAAACATAAAATGTAGCAGGTGGGTGGAACATTTTACTCAGTAGTCAGGTACATATAATGACACTCTCTGATAAAAATCAAGTCTGTGTTTCCCCAATTCTCTCAAAGTCCAAATTCTTTCATCACTTTAATCTCTGAAGTTGTCTGCGTCTGTTCTCCTCTGAAAATGTCAAATGTTGTGTTTTCCGTGACTGAATGAATTTTTAACTGCATGATTGTTTAAAACTGCGCTGCATGAGCAGCTTAAATTTTAATTGCCGTCTTCACGATTAGCTAATCGCGTTCTTTCAAATCGCAATTCTGATTTGAAAACGATTGATCAATCAGCCTTACTCTTAACATTTGTCAATTTTTTCCCAGCCCTGACAACATGATGGATATTTATTGAAATACTACCACCAGACAAAATTGTTTTGATCAGAGCTGACCTGAACTCTGTATTAAATGATACAAGATCCCACCTTGTTGCCCAGCCCCAGCTGTTTCTGTCTTTCTTCCAGGGAGTAGAGAAGACAGGAGCAGCTGTCCCACAGAGCCTCCATCTCAGTAGGCTGCTCCTGAAACGCCTCGCTGGCCCATACCAGAGCTTTCAGCTTGTCCTGTGTGGACACACAACAGATGCAGATAATTTAAAATATGTCACAGTAGCAGTAAAGCAGCATTACAGATCAAAGGCTTATAACACACTAACTTTCCAGTTTATTATGTAAACTTCAATTCAATATTTATATTTGGGCTATATTTGTTGACACTTTGTTAGAGAAGCATTGACTCAACTTTGGTAATTATTCAGATCAAATTTAATGGTGTTGTTGTGTCAGGTTGCATTAGATTGTACAGGTGTTTATCTTACTGTGTTCACCAAGCAGCTGAGCAGGATTTTACACTGGATTTCTTACCTTAGGTAGATTTGGGATAAACTTGGTGTCTCCGAAAGACTTGTAGTTTCCCATGTTGGCATACAGACCTGCTGCATACACCAAGAAGGCCTAAATATCACACACAAAATCATAATTTTCATCCACTGTGTGGCATAATGAACATCTTTATAAATTTGTTTGTGAATGAAAAGATGTATCTAGACAGTAACAGAAAGTCACGGATGAAAAACCTGTGCACCTGGTACTCCTCAGAACTGAGTCCAGCTGCTGTGGCGACCTGTTCTAGCTGTGCAGGCGCCTGCTTCCTAAAGATTTTTTGCAGCAAGACAAAGATGTTTGCAGACTCTGGGGAAGTCTGCAGCAGCACTGCCAGTCCACCATACCTAAGACAATAAAAGGTTTTTTTTGGTTCTTCAATAAACTACTTTATTCTTTAAAGCAAGTGAGAAATTTCTTTTCCCAGTGGTAAATCCATTTAGCATCCATCAGTTTCTAGATTTCAATAGTGCTTGACTTGAACTTGCTACATCCTGAGATCAGTAACATACCAAGCAGCGCGGGACAGGTTGTGGGCGTACTTCTTCTCCTGAGGTGAAAGCAAACGGAAGGCCTCGCCACAGTCAAGAGCAGAGATGCCAATGTCATTTGGGAGGTAGTACTGGGAATCCACCATCTTTAGTCTGAGGTTTAACACTGACGATGAGGAACTGATTTAAGTGAGGGGAAGGAAGGTGGGCAAAGAGAAAATAATGAGAAAGAGAGGAATAGATGAAGTAGGGAAAATGATATGTAAATGAGAAAGAAAGGTGAAAGAAAGAAATAAGAGGGGAGAGACAGTTGAAAGAATAGAGGTAGTAATGAGATGAGTAGAGTGTCGGGTAAAGAGATAAAAGCAGAATTGCAAGTTAGAACAGAGAGCCTTTTTTTTTTTTTTTTACCGTGAGCTCTAGGAGGTATTTGCTTAAGCAGCTTGTGTAGATTACAAACACAAATGCTCATTTTTTATATATATATACATACACACACACACACACACACACACACACACACACACACATACTGATGTACTTGTAAAACAGTAAATGTTTTCTTGACATGGATTCTAATGTTATAAAAGTGGCAGCTGGTATGATTTTTGTATGAAGAATATAATTTTATGTAGTATTAAGTTGTTCTACATGAAACTATAGCCTAGTAGTTGTGATTGATCATCACAGTTCACTAGAAACCTAGGTGAGGTCTTTGCTTGTGTCCAACTGACCCAACCTAAAAATAGTAATTTCTACAAAGATATAACACAGAGAAAAGCACAGAAACTTCACCTCATTGTAGTTCTGAACGATTTTGAAAGAATATCTAATTGCGATTATTTTGATGGATACTGCAATTGCTCAGTTTATGGATATGATTTGCGATACTAGGGGGGATTGTCATTTTTACATAATTATTTTGATTTTACTTACTCAAATAAATTATGGTGTGATTTTTGCAGGACTTTGCACCAAACCAATATGTTTTTTTAAGTCTCTAAAATAGGATGTGTAGGTTTTGACATCTCTACAGCATGACAATATTTAATTTAAAATGGCATTTTGACACAGGTATCATCTTTAAAAAAATATTGCGCCTCCTGCAATTTCAAAATTTTATTAGATTAGATTAAACTTTATTGTCATGGTGCATGTCACTGGGTACAAAGCAACAAAATGCAGAGCTTGACACTGCAGTAGGCAATATTGCTAATACTGATTCATTGTTCAGCCTTACCTCCTAAATAATAGATAAATAAATAGATTATCCAAATAGTTTATAACTAAGTTTACTTTAGTTTAGTAAAACTGACTGTCCTCAGAGAGGTTACAGCACAAGTACAGGTAGGTAGAAACAGAGACATGTCACAAAGACTGCATAGAACAAATATTAAGCAGTAGCAACAACAGAGCCATTAGCCATCCTAGCATCCTTAGTCAAGGAAATTCAAATCATAAATAAATAAATAGTTCTGAAAATACAAAGGGTGGTAAAGTGCAGTGATTGAAGTGGTATTATATGATATTATACAGTGTATAGTAAGCTAAGTTAAAAGCTAAAGTTAAGCCTGCGGTGCAAAGTAAGCTATATTCAAATAGAGTTAAGGACTAACGTTACAGGTGCACGTCCGTGAACCTATCATGACTGACCATGGAAGAAATTCAGCAGGAACCAGTCAGTTAAAAATCAGTTGTCTGTTTCACTTTCATTTAAAAGTTACTTGAATGTGGAGAAGTAAAAACTATAACTACATGCTTAACAAAACATCTTTTTAATGTCCCTTTAAAATTAGCAGCCTACCAACAAGCAGGGCAACACTCAAAGTGCATGTATAAGTAAATACAGCCAACGTTTAGTCTGCAAAACGCTAACTCAATGTTACCGTTAGCTACTAGCGTGCATGCTAGGACGGCTGCAGGCTACATGGAGCATTTAAACACACTGTCGACTTCTCTGAGCAAAATATTACGTCGCAAATACTATGTGACTTATTTATATGCATGACTGGCTGCTGTTGAGTACATTTCGGGAGGTATAAAGGTGGATACCAACTCAACAGCTTGTTACCTGAGTTTCTTCAATAGCTCGGCGAGAGTCAAATTGCAGTCTCACGCTGTACACTTCCTGTATTCATTCAACGTCAGACTCACCCCTCAACCAATCATAGCTTGTATATTGTGGTTGATAGAAACACTAACCAATCATGAAGTAGCTGCGCAGTACTTCACGTCGTAATTTTCTGACTTAACGTATGCTTGAAAAACACGATCTCTGAGCGTCTAAAACAAGGACACTAGGCTGTAACACTGCACACAAAGTAGACATCAGGACGTTCAAATGGGTATGTATAATTACCAACATCTCATGGATATGGAGATAGCAGACGAGGTGGCCGAGTGGTTAAGGCGATGGACTGCTAATCCATTGTGCTCTGCACGCGTGGGTTCGAATCCCATCCTCGTCGGACTCCTTTTCCACAAACGAAGACATCTCAACATCATTTGGCCGCCTGGCGCACGCTGTACGTTAGCAGTGAGCCTAGGGAGCATGGTCGCACATCCGGAACTCGTGACAAGGTTACAAGCCGAGAAACGTGTGCTGTGTACTCTTCCGCTGAATCCTGAATCTTCTTTATACAGTCTATGGCTCAATCCCAATCTCCACACTAACGGACTTTGAGACACGTCACGGTAGTAGTCAGTGAGGGGATGTCCCACTCGGCCCCACTGTCAAATCGTTAAGTGCACGTGGGCTCTTGCAGACTTTTGGAGCCATTTATGCACACTTTCCGTGAGTCTGCATCTCTGCAGACTTTGTCTGAGGGAATTACCCACAGTTCATAGCGTTGTGACCATTAACACGGAGTTACCAGGCGAAGCAGGCATTAAATAAAGTTAAACAAATATGAAAGGGGCAACTACAAGAAAAAACTAAGTTTACATGCAAGTGTATGCTGTTTTGATGAAAACGAGTAAATTGATTATTTGAAAATGACCGTGGTAATTTTAAAATTATCAAATTACTCTGCAAGAGATTGCAACACTTTCAAGACTTCAGTACCTCGGCAGTGAAGAAAGTAAAAGATGTCAAGTAAAAAGTCTCAGACAGATATTATATTCGAGGCTTTAGGGTGGAGATTTGGTTGGGCCATAACTGTGTCACCTATTGGTTTTGTGGACTTGAGTTTTGGCATTTTGGCTGTCCCCATCTTAGTTCTTTGGAACCAGACATGACCGGAACGTGACCATATGTGAATGGGAGGGTAAAGCTTGCTAGCTTCGTATGATGTACAGATTAAAAAGCCCCCTGAGGCAAATTACAAATTAGTGATTTGTGATGTTTGACTATATAAATTAATTTGACTTGACTTTATATGGAACCATTATAGCATAACCACAGGTCCTTTCCACACACAGTTTCATTTGAAAGACATTATTTTCTGCTAAAACCTTGAAAGGCTTACAAACCACACAGTATTTCATCAGTTTATTTGTTTTATTGAATTCTAAAAACATGATGAGAAAGTGAATTATTTACAAAGGGTGTGCAACAGAAAGTATTAAGTTTACCTTGATGAATGGGAGAGCCAGTCAGCTTTGCTATATCCAAATGGTATAGTTTGAGTGACCAGTCCTGCACCACAAGAGAAATGTTAACAGACATCTAGGCGTTCAACACATCTGTGTGTGTGTGTGTGTGTGTGTGTGCGCGCGCGCGTGCCTGTGTTTGTTTATTTTAGGGTTCATGCTTGGGTTTTGCCATCCCTCCTGTCAGGAGGCGTTGTAGGGAGTATCCAGCGATAGCAGTCTGAGAAGCTCAGGCTCTTGTCCACAGCACAGCTGGTGCAGTAGACAATCCCCAGAGCCAGCATCACCACGAGGAACACACACAGAGGCACCAGCAGGGCCACCAATAGCCAGCTCTTTTCATGCTTCCTTTTACCCGCATCAGATCCAGCCCCTTCCTCTGCTGTGCCGCTGACATCCTCGGCACTATCCCTCTTAGATCCCTCCCCCTCCCTAGTACCGGTGGCAGACTCACTTGCAGCGCCCACCCCACCACTAGCTTCTCGACCTCCCGTCTTAGCTTCACCCTCGTTATTAATTTCATTGCCTGTGTTGTATGTTTGCGTTGGGGATGGGGCAGTCTGATATTGTTTTGGTGAGAGGGCATCCCATTGGTTGAGGTGATTATCTGACCCATGAGCCATGTCAGGAGAGAGTCCTTCAGGGGCTTCTGTCTGCCAGTCAGCATCAAAGTTAGTCTCAGCTTCAAAGTTCGGGTCTGGAGTGAACAAGGTGGACCAGGGATTATCATGGTCAGGGTCCAAATCGGGAATGTGAGCAGAGTCACTGGGTTCAGGGGTCAGAGTGGAATATTCTTCATCATCGATCGAAGGTTGGCAGGTAAGTCCGTCTGACTGCAGGTCATAACCATTATCACAGTAACATTGGTACCCTCCCATGTAGTTGAGACACTGCTGCTGGCAGGGTGAGTCCCCAACACATTCATCTACATCTATACACTCTCCTCCAATGCCCAATTCATACCCGGTGTTACACAGGCACTTGAAGGACCCCACTGTGTTTTCACAAATGCCTTCACAGCTGCCCTCATCGAGGCACTCATCAGTGTCCACACACTCACCCTCGTCATCTGGCTGATACCCGGGGTCACAGGTGCAGTGGAATGTGCCCGGGATGTTGACACAGAGTTGCGGGCATGGTTGCTGTTGACATTCGTCTACATCAGAACATCTGCGGCCATCTGGACCCATTTGGTAGCCTGGAGGGCATGTGCAGCGGATGCCCCGAGGTGTCTCCACACAGTTGTACTCACACCCCATCTCCACACAGATGTCTTTGATGTGGGGCTGGTCAGTGGGACCGGCGGAGTCAGAGGATAATTCTGGGGGGTCAGTTTGGCTCAGGGGATCAGGCTTGCAGCTGTACCCGTCCTCATCTACCGTAAAGCCCTCAGAGCAGTAACAGTAGTAGTCTGTGTCTGTGTTCTGACAGTACTGCTCACATCCATGGTCCCCGCTGCACCAGTCCTGATTCTGTGGAGCTGCACTGGACGAGCAGAGTGGGGCATCCCTGGACCAGCCCACTGTTTCATCATCTCTCTCCATGCACAATACCGTCTGCTCAGCATGAGCATCTGGTTGTGAGCTGTCTGCAGGGCATGGTAGAGCAGCTACAGACCCATAGGGCACATGAGTCAGCAGGGTACTAACAAGGTGAAATGGGGTGGTGTAAACAGCTGGACCTCTACCCTCGTCCTCCAGTGGTGGACACATTCCTTTGTAGTTGTACTGGCAAACGTATCCATCCAACGGCAGTGCGCAGGAACCGTCTAGCCACTGGAAGTTGTCACTGCTCTCGCGTCCGCTCTCAGAAGTGTGGACAGTCATGGCCACACAGCGAGGGGCCGCACAAGTCCCAGGGGTGTCTTCACGGAGCCAGTTAGTGAACAGGCCATCCTGGTCTCCTGTTGGAAAATAAAGACAAGGACCAGGTCAGTAAAAGTAGATCTTCCCTCTTTTTAGTTTCCTTCTTTTGTTTTTTAACTATATGCAATTTCTCTTCTTTATGACACATGTTAAGTGTGAATTCTTAAGATTATCTTGATTTAAGATGCCATGTGTATCATTTTTTACATGAAAATTTTGTCTTTCAGATTATTCTGATGGCACAAGTTTTTGTTTGCAGAAAATTAGACAGTCCTGTTCAAGAAAATGGTGTTGTCTATGTGTTGCTATCATCCCAATCATTCTCATGTTTTTCTGAGTTGGCACAGTGAGGAGTTGAGTTTAGCACAGTGTCTTTTTTAATATCCCCACTAGGAGTCACCAAAGTCAGATATTTTCAAATTCTACATGTGGACATTGAAAACACCTTATTTATCCTGCTCATGTTGTTGGAAGAAATATCTTTGTCTACACGTGGTTAAATAAAACTAAAACTTTCTGCATTGCTAGATACCCAGGAACAAGTGAGAAAACCAACTCTTTAAATGATGGCAGACTCTTGCAAATCTTTAATCTTGTCTAACTAAAGACCAAGGCAGATACTTTTAGTGATAAAAAAGCCCATCTGGTTTTTAGTAGGCGAGGTTTGTGTAAAGACTAAATCCGAATGAGAGGTAGCAATGAGGTCAAAAGGGGATTGAACGTCCCCTGTCGCGCCAGCTCCGTCTCTGTGAAACACAAGAAGTTAATGTAATAACCATCCAGTCTGTGCAGAACTCTAGAGGCTGGCCTGGCTACCAAAGTCTGACAGAGAGGTTAGAGTTGGTATAATACCATAATCTTAAAGTGATTCATAAGCTCTTGATATAACTGATATGTGTGTGTGGAAGTAGTAATATCGATGTAGTAAATACTGATTCAAATTGATTTAATGAAAGTCTGAGTTTAACTAAAATCTATATAATAAAAAAAGACATACGTCTAGCATTAGTTAATTTAGTTTTGTACACTTCAGTCAACAAATACAACCAGAACCAATTTAATAATTTAACTGATGAGTGTTTGAACAGATTCAGCATCAGTTATACATGGCCAACAGATTTTTAATCAGACTTACTTTCATTATCTTTGAGCGCAGTGATATTTTAAAAATCGACTAGGGTAGGGAATGCTTAAATGTAAGAAAAGATGTACTATTGTACCTTTTCCTGTTTGGGTACAATTTTGTCTGAGCTTTTTAACGTCCGATAAAATGGCTGGTAAGGTGATGATGGTCAATGTTAGGAACACTGAAACGTCAAATTTCAAAAAAGTGAGACTTTGCCTGTGACCCAGACGAATCCTCGGAGTGGTCGGTTGGATGAACACTGGCGTGGCGGTCTGTGCAGCCCGATCCAGAGACGAAGCCTTGACCTGGTCCCCTGTGCCTCGACGGCTGACAGCAGCTCATGGACCACACCCGCTGCCTCGTTGGTGTGCATCGTTGCCAGGGTTCCACCTCGCTCCCGGCAGCTCCGCCCAGCCTCCCTGAAGGTTCTCTTTTGCAGAAAGACAGTGTAACATCCCTCCTGGTGGCAGAGTGCGTCTCTCTCCGCCAGCTGAGCCCCGGCTACTGGCTGCTCCCCCTCTGACTCCCTCAACTTCTGGCCTCGGCTTCCAGGAGCCAGACAGACCATCAGCAGCCACAGGACACACAGGAGACTCATGCTGCTGCAGCGGCTGCTGCTTCTGATGGTCTTTTGCATCCTCCACCAAGACATGAGGTTTAAACTAGGCCAACATCCAAATGAGTACCACAACCTTACTGTCAAAATAAATAACCTAATTCAATTCAATTGAACCTCCTATTCAAACAAACCTGACCCAAATTTACTCACTTTAAGTAATTTAACAAACTGAAATTTCTTGAAATATTTGTTCTATCCTGATAGTGTATTTAAATAAATAATGTGGTCTTATTGACTTTTTAATCAAACTCATATGAGGCAGATAAATTCCAAACTGATATCAGATTACCATAATTTAACTTGGATTGCCCAAGCCCTTTTACACAAATAGCCCTACAGTGCGGTCAAACTACATTCATCAGCAAATTGTCAGCACTTCTGCCTAATGGAAGCAGATTCCACCAGATCTTATATAAAACTTATAGAAACCAATGCAGTCCAGTGGTATCCCCTAGAAGGTCCACT